GGCGCCCTAGGGTGAATAGTTCCCCGTCACTGGCGCCCTAGGGTGAATAGTTCCCCGTCACTGGCGCCCTAGGGTGAATAGTTCCCCGTCACTGGCGCCCTAGGGTGAATAGTTCCCCGTCACTGGCGCCCTAGGGTGAATAGTTCCCCGTCACTGGCGCCCTAGGGTGAATAGTTCCCCGTCACTGGCGCCCTAGGGTGAATAGTTCCCCGTCACTGGCGCCCTAGGGTGAATAGTTCCCCGTCACTGGCGCCCTAGGGTGAATAGTTCCCCGTCACTGGCGCCCTAGGGTGAATAGTTCCCCGTCACTGGCGCCCTAGGGTGAATAGTTCCCCGTCACTGGCGCCCTAGGGAATAGTTCCCCGTCACTGGCGCCCTAGGGTGAATAGTTCCCCGTCACTGGCGCCCTAGGGTGAATAGTTCCCCGTCACTGGCGCCCTAGGGTGAATAGTTCCCCGTCACTGGCGCCCTAGGGTGAATAGTTCCCCGTCACTGGCGCCCTAGGGTGAATAGTTCCCCGTCACTGGCGCCCTAGGGTGAATAGTTCCCCGTCACTGGCGCCCTAGGGTGAATAGTTCCCCGTCACTGGCGCCCTAGGGTGAATAGTTCCCCGTCACTGGCGCACTGGCGCCCTAGGGTGAGTAGTTCCCCGTCACTGGCGCCCTAGGGTGAGTAGTTCCCCGTCACTGGCGCCCTAGGGTGAGTAGTTCCCCGTCACTGGCGCCCTAGGGTGAGTAGTTCCCCGTCACTGGCGCCCTAGGGTGAGTAGTTCCCCGTCACTGGCGCCCTAGGGTGAGTAGTTCCCCGTCACTGGCGCCCTAGGGTGAGTAGTTCCCCGTCACTTGGGCCCTAGGGTGAGTAGTTCCCCGTCACTTGGGCCCTAGGGTGAGTAGTTCCCCGTCACTTGGGCCCTAGGGTGAGTAGTTCCCCGTCACTTGGGCCCTAGGGTGAGTAGTTCCCCGTCACTTGGGCCCTAGGGTGAGTAGTTCCCCGTCACTTGGGCCCTAGGGTGAGTAGTTCCCCGTCACTGGCGCCCTAGGAGGAGTAGTTCCCCGTCACTGGCGCCCTAGGAGGAGTAGTTCCCCGTCACTGGCGCCCTAGGAGGAGTAGTTCCCCGTCACTGGCGCCCTAGGAGGAGTAGTTCCCCGTCACTGGCGCCCTAGGAGGAGTAGTTCCCCGTCACTGGCGCCCTAGGAGGAGTAGTTCCCCGTCACTGGCGCCCTAGGAGGAGTAGTTCCCCGTCACTGGCGCCCTAGGAGGAGTAGTTCCCCGTCACTGGCGCCCTAGGAGGAGTAGTTCCCCGTCACTGGGGCTCTAGGAGGAGTAGTTCCCCGTCACTGGGGCCCTAGGAGGAGTAGTTCCCCGTCACTGGGGCCCTAGGAGGAGTAGTTCCCCGTCACTGGGGCCCTAGGAGGAGTAGTTCCCCGTCACTGGGGCCCTAGGAGGAGTAGTTCCCCCGTCACTGGGGCCCTAGGAGGAGTAGTTCCCCCGTCACTGGGGCCCTAGGAGGAGTAGTTCCCCCGTCACTGGGGCCCTAGGAGGAGTAGTTCCCCCGTCACTGGGCGCCCTAGGAGGAGTAGTTCCCCCGTCACTGGCGCCCTAGGAGGAGTAGTTCCCCCGTCACTGGCGCCCTAGGAGGAGTAGTTCCCCCGTCACTGGCGCCCTAGGAGGAGTAGTTCCCCGTCACTGGCGCCCTAGGAGGAGTAGTTCCCCGTCACTGGCGCCCTAGGAGGAGTAGTTCCCCGTCACTGGCGCCCTAGGAGGAGTAGTTCCCCGTCACTGGCGCCCTAGGAGGAGTAGTTCCCCGTCAGTGGCAGGAATGGTGCCCCGTCACTGGCGTCAGTGGGAAGAATGGTGTCCCTTTGTCAGTGGCAGGATCTATTCCCCACTGTTGCAGACAGTGGGGGGGGGGGAGGAATAATGTCCCAAGGGCCACATGAAAGTAAGCAGAGGGCCACATTGTCTCCCGGGCCACAGTTTTGAAACCACTGGTTTAGACTAATATTTTTAAAAGACCACAATACACTAAACTGTGTTATGTAGGCAATTTCCTGCTGTGGCCCAAATGTCCTCCTAGCAAGGGTGGGCCCAACAGAGCTGATTAATAGCAAGCTGAGGGCTTGAGAAATTAAGAGAAGTATGGCCAATGACAATGACTAAAGCTGGCTGTTGTCTGATGTCACAGAGCTGCTTCAGTGAATGGAGGAGTGGGAGAGCAGAGAGTGGTGACTGACAGTCATTATTTTCTGCTCTGAGAAGACAGAGAACTGAGTGATCAGCGGTCATGTGATTACTCAGTTCTCTGGCTTGGAGCTCACAGGGGACAACTGCAGAATCACACTGTTGCTGCAGCATAAAGGTGAGCATAGATGTTTATTTTGTTCTTTTTTTTTTTAAACTACCCCAACTTTCTTCTGTAACCTTAGTCCCTCTTACATTAGTTACCCCTTTATAACCTTTTCAGCCCCCCGCCCACATCTGAGTCCACTTTAGGAGTCCCCCCTTACATCAGGGTCCCCATCAGAGCCCCTTTACATCAGAGTACACCTTGGGAGACTCCCTTTACATAAGAGCCCCCCCCCCTTCTTTTTTTAAACACTATGATATGATTTAGATCAAAACAGCACTTTAGAAGTAAAACAAAGCAAAGTCATCGTCAGCCCCCCCGTCCCCACTTGCATCAGAGTCCCTTCTTATATTCGTGTCTGAGTCCCCCCTTACATCTAGGTGCCCATCAGAAATCCCCCCCCCCCCCCCAAACAAAAAAGCACAATAGTCTCCTCTTACATTAGCATCTCCATCAGGGTTGCCTCTTACATCAGGGTACCTGTCAGGGTCCCTCCTTACATCATGCAGGGATGTTCTCTTACAGTTGCAAGAAAAAGTATGTGAACCCCTTGGGATTACATGGAGTTTTGCATGAATTGGGCATAAAATGTGCTCTGAACGTCATCTAAGTCACAACAATAGAAGAACACAGTCTGCTGAACATAATACTACACAAACATTAGATTTTGCCATGGTTTAATTGCACATAACATGTAAACATTCACAGTGCAGGGAGGAAAAAGTATGTGAGGCCCTAGCTTAATGACTTCTCCCAGAGCTAATTGGAGCCAGGAGTGAGCCAACCTTGACTCCAATCAGTGTGATGATATTGGATGTGTTGCTGACAGCTGTCCTGCCCTTAAAAACACACACCTGTTTTGGGTTTACTGGTTTCAAGAAGCACTGTCTGATGTGAACCATGCCTCGCAGAAAAGAGCTCTCAGAAGACCTACGATCAAGAATTGTTGACTTGCATGAAGCTGGAAAGGGTTACAAAAGTATCTCCAAAAGCCTTGATGTTCATGTGTCCACGGTAAGACAGACTGTCTACAAATGGAGAGAGTTTAGCACTGTTGCTACTCTCCCTAGGCGTGGTCGTCCTGTAAAAATGACTGCAAGAGCACAGCGCAGAATGCTGCATGAGGTAAAGAAGAATCCCAGAGTGTCAGCTAAAGACCTACAGAAATCTCTGGCACCTGCTAACATTTTTGTTGACACATCTACAATAAGGAAAACATTAAACAAGAATGCAGTACATGGGAGGACACCACGGAGGAAGCCATTGCTGTCCAAAAAGAAAATTACAGCACTTTGAAGTTTGCAAAAGAGCACCTGGATGTTCCACAGCACTACTGGCAAAATATACTGTGGACAGATGAAACCAAGATTGAGTTGTTTGGGAAGAACACACAACACTATGTGTGGAGAAAAAAAGGCACAGCACACCAACATCAAAACCTCATCCCCACTGTAAAACATGGCGGAGGGAGCATCATGGTTTGGGGCTGCTTTGCTGCCTCAGGGCCTGGACGGATTGTTGTCATTGATGGGAAAATGAATTCCAGAGTTTATCAAGACATTTTGCAGGAAAACGTACGACCATCTGTCCGCCAACTGAAGCTCCGCAGAGGATGGGTGATGCAACAGGACAATGACCCAAAGCATACAAGTAATTCAACAAAACAATGGCTGCAACAGCACAGAATACGCCTTCTGGAGTGGCCCAGTCAGAGTCCTGACCTCAACCCGATTGAAATGCTGTGGCATGACCTTAAGAGAGAGATTCACACCAGACATCCCGAGAATATTGCTACACTGAAACAGTTTTGTGAAGAGGAGTGGTCCAAAATTACTCCAAATCGTTGTGCAGGTCTGATCTGCAACTACAGGAAACGTTTGGTTGAGGTTATTGCTGCCAAAGGAGGGTCAACCAGTTATTAAGTCCAAAGGTTCACATACTTTTTCCTCCCTGCACTGTGAATGTTTACATGTTATGTGCAATTAAACCATGGCAACATCTAATGTTTGTGTAGTATTATGTTCAGCAGACTGTGTTCTTCTATTGTTGTGACTTAGATGACGTTCAGAGCACATTTTATGCCCAATTCATGCAAAACTCCACGTAATCCCAAGGGGTTCACATACTTTTTCTTGCAACTGTATTTCAGGATCCCCCTTATGTCAGGGTCCCCCGTTACATCAGGGTCTCCATCAGAGCCCACACTTACATATGAGTTCCCTTCAGAGCTCTCCTTGCATATTACATCAGGACCTCCATCACTGGATTTTGATCTGGAACCTCAGTTTGCGCACATCAGCTGCAAACCAGATAAAATTTTGTAGCAGGCCAGACGTGGCCCAAAGGCCATAGTTTTGAAATCCCTGTACTAGTATAAGGGAAGTGTAAATATAAACTGTATCATCATGTTCTATGTTCCTGCCTTCAGTTGGTGAATGAAAAGAAAAGCCTTTTGTTTGGCCATACATTATATTGCTTTTATGTTTAGTTGTATGAAGCGTAGAGATACTCTTGCAGATGCTATGTAATGTCTCTTTAGTGGTTTGACCCTTTGTGCAGTGAAATGTTTGCTCATTGTTATTCTCTTGGTATTTATAGTTTTATGCACATTTGCTGTTCCTGGTGATACAATTTTTTTTTTTTTCTGCTTTGTGAAAAGGAAGTAAATGTTGACTTTGAAGCCCATACGATGTCTGACAGCGATCGTGATGGGATGAAAAAACTGCTGAAGCAGGTAAGGAAATCCAATATAATTCTTTATAAATCGGTAGTTTTGATTTACAGAGGGGATCGATTTGGGCCTGCGAGACCTTCCTGCTGTCAGAATACGGCGTACAGAATACAGTGTACCCACCCTCTCCAACACAGGAGGAACACAGTGACCTTATCCTTTTGCTATGGAAACAGCAGTGATAAGTTAGTGATCTCTCCCTTCCCAGAGTTCATCCCACTGGCAAGGCTTGATGATGAGTGAATACACACATTCATTTGATCTTCATAATTCTTTTCAATTTACTTTTATTTTTTCTATTTTTAATTGTTTAGCTGTTCCTCAAAGCCAAAGTAAACATTGCAGAACTGGCTGATCTTCTCATTCAGCAGAATCACATAGGAAGCGTTATTAAGGTAATGTATTCATTTTAAATTTGTATTATTATTTGCTGAATCTTTTAACACTGAATTCCAGGCAGATTTAAAGGATACAAATGCAGCTGTGTGTTCATCAATAAATCAATACATGAATTTTTTTTTTTTCTTTTACAAATGCAAGTATTGACCTGGTGTCATCTTCACATTTGCATTGCAATTAAATGCTGATGGCGCTCCAAGCTCAGAGAGCCGGTGTGCGTATGCTGTGCGAAAAAAAGGCTAGAAAAAAACGCCATACGCCACACTGCTACAAAAAAGTACAGTAGCTTCTTTGGGGCATTTGCTGCACATAGGGCAACCCATTCAAGTGACTGAGCTGCCCTTCGCGTGATAAGTGGAAACACTGGTTTCCCCCAATTATTTAATTTATTTTACACAACAGACAGTACATGGAGGGAGAGTGATGCCCACCACAGTTGGGCAGAACAAGGAAGTTGGCTGCGGAAACGCTCTACAGGATCTACCACAGCCAATCAGATGTTGCTTTTTATTGCACTGACTACTGCAACCTGAAACATAAGTTGAAGCATTCCATAGTCATTATAGCCTGCTGGGTACCCTTGGTTTAGACCTGCCATCTCCATATTTGTTTACAATGTACTCCATCCATCTGGTACATGAACATATTTGGTGACCCGCACTACAACATCCCATTGCTGAGTGTCTTTCCTGTGCCACAAAAATGAAATAAACCGAACCATAGAAAGGATTTAATAATCAGTCCATTGCTAAAGCTTACCATTCTACCCTGATGAAGGGCGCTGCTTGAACTCCTGAATTGTGTTGGTCTTCTATTTTATGCAACTTTAGATAAAAATATTTTTCTGGATACAGTACAAGTTTGGCGCTTTCCTCCATTCACGTTTTTAGGTCTCGTGAGGCAAGAGCTGAACTGCAGTCCCTGCCTAAAGGAAACTATGACCTGTCTAAAAGAAACATTTCACACCACATGAAACGCCCCATCAGGAACCTCAGTAAAATTAGAGAGCCAGTGCTGCACAAACCTACCTTATTTTTAACCAATCCTTTCTTTCATAGCCGCAATAGCAGTTGATTGGCAGTTTGGAAACCACAGGAGTTTTATGTGGTCTCAGACAGAGACCGCTGTATGCCACAAGCCTAAGGGTTCTTTCACATAGGCAGCTTGCCCCCCCCCCCCCCCCCCCCCCAACACACACACACCTTATATATTTGATTGGGACTATTGGTGTATTTGTGTATCACTTATGGCTTTATTTAGCCAAATTGGTATGTGATACATTTTGCACTTTGCAATCATCATTAAATAACAATGTCTGTAGTAGGAGACAGGTAGAGAACCTCAACTTTTTTTCCTCATCTTGTGATGTCTGCTTTTAAATTTCTCAATAACAATGACAACTGATTTCTATCTGTAATTGTCCCATATCACAGCAAGCTGAAGGTACAGAGGATAGTGATGACGAAGATGAAGATGACCATGTTTTTGGATTCATAAGTCTTTTCAACTTAACAGAGAGGAAGGTGAGTGTGGTTCTATTTTATTCCTCTGATAGTAGAATGTTGTCCTAGTAAACACACTTTTTCATTGTATGATGGGAGTGAACATCTGCATATTGATTTAAACATGTATTTGGGATGCGACAAACACATTACCATACTGGATCCAGGAAGATATCCTTTGATATTGGGCATTGTTGTATGATATTGGGTATTGTATGATCTGTTAACATTACAAGTTGCTGGACTTGGTTAGGGCTACTAGAACAGTGATGCTTTATTACAAAGTAAATCAGGTTTACGATTGCAAAAATCTGTTTTTCCCCTTCCTCTATTGGCCATTGATTTGCCCAGAGTCAAGGCAAATGTAGTGTTGGCATCAATGGAAAATATAATTGTTTGGGGAGAGCTGCTGTTTGGCTTGTCCGGCCCCTCTGGCATAGACCACAAGACCAGTGGCTCAGTCTCCAAACTGATGAAATCTCCAAAATCCATACAAAGAGGCGGGAGGGGGCTCTCCTTAGCAGTGTCCAAGATGGCCGCTCATTAGAGGCGCTCCTTGCCCATTGGACACATTGGCCGATTTGCCAACTCTCAAGTGGGGGGGGGGGGGGGGCACCAGCTCTTTTACCTACCCTCCCCCGGTTTGCTGCAACCCTCTGCCGCGATGGCCAAAAAAAAGCGGGGCCGCCCATGCCTCCAACGCTCGGCAGGCTGCACTGGAGTTTGTGGCCTACCCAGCAGGGGCTGCAACCGCAGCCCCGACCTCGAATTTTGGATCCCATGGATGAGCCCCCTAGAGACAATATCATCAAATTTACCTAATACCGCACTAAAACCATTCTCTTGGCGGCCAGAAACAACCCAGACCTCAGCTTCCAGGGACATCGCTACCGTCTCTACCAGCTCTTTGCGAACCTCTCTCAGATCACTCTTCAGAAGCGCCGCCAGTTGAAGCCCTTCACCTCAGTCCTGGCAAATCGCAGAATTAAATATGCCTGGGGCTTTCCATTCCGCCTCACGTTCAACTACCAGGGCCACAGCCAGTCAGTTGTCATGCCGAAGGAGGCCCGCTCTCTCCTAGAATCTTTACAACTTCTTCCGCCGGGAGGCGCTACACAGAGCCTGACTCATTTATCCGGATCCCCAGCATGGCCGCTTTTTCTGGGCTGCCTCTGGGATAAGATATCTAATGGGAACAGGGCCCTCCCTCGGACCCCTCTATGATCAAGTCCCTCCTGCTCTTCTCCAGGCTGAAGCTGTGTCCAGGACTGCCCCTGTGGTGTTTCACCGTTGGACTCTGCTGACGGGACCATGAGTTGGCCTTTTAGGCATTCCCCATTTGATAGTGTTCCAGGATTGGGTTTGGTCCAGCCAGCTCTTTGAGTAGGGGGTCACCTCCTGGACTTGAGGTTTATGACTTTTTTCCATTGCAGACTGCCACAGGTCCAGGTGACATTGGTTGGGTTCTCGTTCGTGGAATGGGCCGATAGTTTCCCCAGGTTCCAGGGAGGGAAGTTGGCTCTGGTAGGCCCTAGTTTGGTGCAAGGATGATGGCCCTGCTGGGAGGCTGGGGTAGGGGATCACCTGGGCTGCGTTGTTTGGTTTCCACGGCGGCCTGTGGTCGTCCCTCTGGAGTGGGTTGGGCCCCCAAGCCTAGCTGGGGTTCCAATGGGGAGGTTTCCGCGGATGTACCCACTTCCATGGACTCACCTCTATTACTGTGGGATTCCACTATGTTGTGTTTATTGCCTTTTTGCCCACTGAGGGCTTATGTTTTTGATATATTGATTTGCAGCCATGTGTCCGGTGGTAGAGCCACACCCCAACTGGTATCCTTCCAGTGTAGGATGCACTTCCAACATTGGTGTGCTATGACTATATTATTGTACTCCTTGTGTCATCTTCTTTTCTTTCCTTGTTTTCTTTTCTTTTCTGGTCCTTCTGGGCTTGTTTTAGACGGGGTTTCGGGACGCCATGGCCTGACCGTCCTTGGCAGTGGAAATTGTTGGCAGACTTTTACTTTTTCTGCTGAGCATGCAACACTGATCCCGTCATGGCCTCACCCCTCTTGAAAGTACATTCACAAAATATTCAAGGCTTCAGTTCGCCTCAGAAGCGGTCTAAAGTTTTTAATCGCCTCAAATTGCAACAAATTGACGTGTTATGTTTGCAGGAAATCATGTTTTCTCAGTCCTCCGCCCCATGGTATCTATCGCCTCATTATCCCACTTTGTACATGGCCTCTGCTCCTGAGAAACAACGGGGTGTGTTGATAGCTTTCAAACGTTATCTCCCCTTCGTCTGTGCTCGGAATATAGCGGACCCCACGTGCAGGTACTTGTTCCTACAGGGCATCCTCTGAGACCAGGAGGTTACTTTTGTCTCTTACTATGCCCCAATCACTTACAGCATAAGTTGTTTTTTTTTTTTTTTGTGTTTTTTTTTTTTTTCTCCCATCTTTGCACCATCATTTTCCGACACTCCAAGGGTCAACTTCTTCTTTTGGGAGATTCAAATGTTACCTTGGATTCCGCCTTAGATTGGCGCTATGCCCGGGGGTTGGCCCCTTCTCAGGACTTAGTGCTAGAGGAACGTATGCGCTTTCTCTTGCAGACGGCGGGGTTGGCGATCGTTTGGAGGGAACTTCACCCAACTAAGCGTGACTGTATGTGCTACTCAAATCCCTGTGACCGTTTTTGTATAATTGACCACATACTTGTGCATGTCCAACAGCTTCCCTTGGTCAGGCGAATATCTATCCCCTCCTCGCCCTGGTCAGACCATTATCCCCTTGTTCCACTCCTTGCCCTCTTGGGGTTGGTACGGCGCCCCTTTCACTGGCGCATTAACGATTCTTTATTGACCACTCAGGTCACCTGCCAACAAATAGAAACTTTCTTACATACATACTTTGTGGAAAACTCGGGATCAGTCTCTTCGGCAGTGCCCCTGTGGGAGGCGCATAAAGCCACGGTGCAGGGCCACAGTAGACAGCTGGCGGCGGTTTGAAAGTGGGAGCGCCGTTTTTTGGATCTCCACTCTCTACTGGCCTCTGTGGATGCCCGCTGGAAGTCGCACCCATCTGCGGCTCATAAACTCATGAGGGATGCTCTGGCTGCAGAGTTGGTCCTACTTGCTTCTTCAGAGGCTGAACCGGCCCTGCGTTGGACCAAACATAAATTTTATTCCTGTGCTAATAAGCCGGGTCCGATGCTGGCCAGGAAACTCAATTCCGTGGGGAAACCCCACATACTGATCCGATTGCGACTTTCTGTGGGAGTCTGTACCTCCAATCCCCAGCAGATTGTTTCTCGGGCTTCCTTTCACACCTTTACACTAAACCATATCCCTTCCCTGTAGCTCAGGCAGAGGCGTTCTTTCAAGATCTCCGACTTCCTGGATTGTCCGAAGCTGCGTGGATGGCCCTCAATGCCGGTGTAACCGTATCGGAAGTTCTTCAAGCTATCAAATCTCTACGGTCCACCGTGGCTCCGGGTCCTGATGGCTTCTCAGGTCTCTGTTATAAGAAATTTGCGACCCTGTTGGCACCCTTCTTGGTTGATTATTTCAATGAGTTACAACAGGACTCTTTGTCCTCTCCAGACGCGCTCAGAGCTCGTATCTCAATGATTCCTAAGATAACAGATGATGTGCAAGAAGCACAAGCCTTTCGGCCCATTTCTCTTCTTAATGAAGATCTGAAGATATTGGGCAAGATTCTCAGTCTTCGTATCAATAAATATTTGTGTAGTCTGGTCCACAGGGACCAAGTAGGTTTCGTCCTCGAGAGGCAGGCCGGTGATAACGTTCGTAAAGTGGTTTACCTTGTACACCTTCTACAACAGCGGAAAATTCTGGAATTCTTACTGTCTTTAGACGTGTATATAAAGCTTTTGTTTCTCTATCCTGGGAATATCTGTGGTTTGTGTTGTCTTGTTGGGGCTTTAGAGACTCTATTCTTTCTTGGATCCAAACCTTGTATTCTTCGGCTTTGGTTAAATACGCTGGGTATTTTTCAGACCCCTTTGCTATTTGGCGAGGGACGAGACAGGTATACCCCCTGTCCCTGGCTCTCTTTGTCCTGGCGCTTGAGCCGCTGGCTTTAATATATGTTCCATACATGGGACAGGAATTTAAGTTGAACCTTTTTGCGGATGATGCCCTCTTGACTCTCACTAATCCCCTGATGACGCTCCCAAATTTGCAACAGGTTCTTGCGCGTTTCTTCTCGATTTGGGGCTTCCTTTTCGTTTGAATACCTGGGCATTCGCTTGACCTCCACCTATGGCTCTTTGTATGCTGTGAATTATTATCTGTTGCTTCGGTCTGTGTCCTCTTATGCACTGCTGGCAATTTCCACACCTGTCTTGGATAGGACGGGTTAACTCAGTGAAAATGACCATCCTGTTCAAATTGTTGTATTATTTTCGCACCCTCCCAGTGCAAGTTCCTCCTCATTTCCTTCGATTGATTCAGGCAAGGATTATGCGGTTTATCTGGGCCGACAGGCACCCCAGAGTCTCCAGAAATACGCTTTTTGTTCATAGACTCCAGGGGGGTCTTGGGGTACCTAATGTAACTAAGTATTATCAGATGAGCCAGATTGCCCCACTGTCTGTTGCATGCTTCCTCTGACATTCCTCTCTAGGTTCTGCTGGAGCTACCTAATTGTGCCCCTACTGCGACATTTCTGTGGTTCCCCCCTGCCCCACACCTTATGGTACTAAGTCCGATTTTGCTCCAGGGCCTACAAGTTTGGAACTCAGTACGCTACTCCAGTGGCCTGATGTCCCCTTTTCTAACTTTGCTCCCGATTATTAACAATCCTCTCTTCCCGCCGGGTTTGGATCAACCAAGGGTGTTCTCTTGGTGGGTGGCCAATGGTTTTTCGCAGGTGCAACACTTTATTTGACTTCTCGATCCTTCCCCACCTGGAATTCTTTTCTGGAGTCACGGGATCTCCCTCACGTGGAATTTTACCGCTACCTCCAATTGCGGCATTGGCTAACCTCACTGCGGGG